GTGTAAAGGTTAAGCACGAGATCCCCTCGACACTGCACTGTGTGCTTGTGCTTACCACTGATTAATGCAATACAAGTAGCCTTTTGCTAATTCGTGTGCCTTCKTGTTGCCTTTGTGTGTGTATTTGCTTTGTTTCGTAGGCTTACTCGCCCATTTCGAGTGCCGCACGGGGCCCCAACGATTACCCCCGTGACACTATGGCATATATCCTGACTCATGATAATTGATAAACTCATCTGCTGCAACTATGGTGGCATTACTCTACTCCTCCCTGCGAAAGTGTAGGAGATCGACTGATGAAACATCATGCTGAATTTATTTATTTGGGTAAAGATTAAAGAAAACTTCTATGTTTGAATTTATTTCAAGCGTTGCATATTCAGACCAGATTGGCTGAATGCAACGGGGGCTGTATAAATATAACCAGCAATTACACCCCAAGCTACCATCCACGTGAAGTGAGAGATTCGAGTGGCTTAAAATATGAGCCAAGGTTTCAACTTCCTATGCATTCAAAACTTCCACCTCAGTCCCATGCATGTTCCCGATACCAGACCCATGCGACAGCCAGCTTAAAATATGAGCCCAGTTGGTACAATATATATCTTGGGTGGGCTGGAGATATTCACAGTCTGCCTACCCAAGTTGCACAACTTGGCCCAACTCCGGTTGGCAGTCTGCCACTAGGCTTGTCCAAAGGTAAATATGGTATGGGCTTACCATTTATACCATTGTCCATGGTCCAACCTAGCAGACCAAAAGCAATCTAGTTGGCTTTGTCTTTTGATAGATAAAGTATGGGATAAAATATTTGAAAATGTAATAATCAATCAAACTTTTAAATTCACCTATGAAGTAGCTCACAGCCTAGCTACTTGATGACTTATTTATAAAACATAAAATAATAAGTCATTTAGCCACTTCAGCTGTTATCAAATAGTCCCTATGCTAAGAAATTCACGTTACAGCGACCTTTGGTGCCATTGTGGTATGTGCAATCCTAATTCCCCAGCGCTAAAATGGCAAATATGTAGTAAAATTCACTCCTGAAGAAGTGAATGCAGATCTTGAGAGTAAGATATCTGAAAAAAAAACCTTGGAAAACATGAAATATATTTTTCTGGAATGAGACCTAGTTAAACATATTTGGCCACTTACTAATCTAAAGTGTAGTGGCCCCAGTGAAAAACTGTACCTTGCCAACTAATATAATAAATAAGAAGTTGTAGGTATTGTTTCCTTTCCATTAACTTTAAATTGCATAAAAGAGGCTATTTACCTAATGCTGGTTCTAATTTTCATAGTCTTTGGAACGTGGACTAAATAGCAGCCTATTTCCAACAATTTTAGGTCTTGTTCGTTTTTCGGTAAGTTATTTATCCAGGTAAATGTAGTTACCTGGGTAAGTTTTTTCAG